ATGGTGGTGCTGCAAATGGTAACAACAGTAATGCTAATGGGGTCAAGAAAGGTGGAATGAATGATGGATTTCATGGCATGCCTAACATCATGGGTATGAATGCTGCTGGCAGCGTGGGCCAGATGGGGAATATGCCCATGGGCCAAATGGGTCAGATGGGTAATTTATCAGCCGTCCCTGGCCTACCTGCTTCGATGAATGGAGGCGGTGGTGGTGGTGGTGGAGCTCCTGCCGCTGCAGGATACATCCAAGGTGCTGGCCCTGAGATGATGGCCGGCAATCAGCACTACCAACAGCAATTGGCAGCAATGATGATGAACCAGCAACGTGCCAATGGAAATGAGAGGTTTCAGCCAATGATGTACGCTCGGCCTCCACCTGCCGTCAATTACATGCCTCCATATCAACCTTACCCTTACCAGTACCAGTACCCATACCCCCCTCCCCCAGGTGATCGGACTGAGCAATACTCGATGTTTAGTGATGAAAACACATCAAGCTGCAATGTGATGTGAGTCGGGCAAACCTGAATTTCCCGATTTTTCGTGGTTTTGCATGAACCTGGTCCTGATGCCATTAATACATGGGAATGGTTTTACTTTGATTCTTGTTTCCTTTTAAATCCTAAGTTTAGTTCAGTTTTTTCTTCATAGGGAGTAGTATTATCATAGATCATATAATATTAAAGCTTTGGAAAATGAGATGCAAGTGGGGGATGGATGGATTGTGCTGGTTTTGCTCAAGAGATGTTTATATATGTTTATATTTTGGAAAAAGAAATAAATTTCAAGAGAACGGGAATTTAATGAGAACAATGTCCCGTCTATTTCCCAGTGTTACCTATTCGTGTTTATGGTATTTTTATTTGGTACACAATATTGGACTCTATCTATAGAAAGAGACGTTACAATGAAACAATTCATTATCTTAATCACATTGTTCACTTTTCCAAACAATGTAAATTTAATTAATGATAATTGAAGTAACAAAATTTCCATGGCTTGTGACTTTCACATCATAATTTGTCCTCCACTTTTTAAGTGTGTCAAAATATGG